AAAAAAAAAGTGAGGGGGCAGTGCCTGTGGCTCCAACAAGTGGGGCATATGCTGGAGGTGGTGGGTTCAAACCCAGCCCTGGCCAAAAACTGCAAAAAAAGAAAAAAAAAAAGTGAGGCCAATTATTTGATCTGAAATACATTTACATTTCAGACAGGAATTATCTTTTTTTTCTGTAACTGTGAAAATGTATCTATTTTTACCACATTAAATAATGTCTTCTAATCACATAAAATACTACTCAAGTATTCTACTTTATTCTATTATAAAGACATATCAATATATTGAAGAACAATTGGTGAGATAATTTATTCAAAATGTTCCTCTTTTACTTTCATACAGAAAAGTAAAACACTGGACACACACCATATGCTTAGATGCATAGCTGTTTTATAATTCAAACACAAATATCACATTTCTTTACATTTTCTTCATATATTTTACATTTGTCATTATCCATCCATGACAAAATTCATATTAATAATGTCCACCTAATATAGAATGGTGCCTAGTTCTGATGCAGAAACAAAACACAGCATATTTTTAAATGAACACAAGAGATTAAGGCATAGCTTCACCTGACTTGAGAATTGAAGTACATTAAAAATACTTGTTTTACAAATACTGCCAATACAAATAAAAGTATTGACTGATTATAAATTACACCTGTCCAAGTATCAATGTTCTTGCTCTTTTCAAACACATTAATCAATTACATGATTGCTTTTACTTTGGATTATTCTCTGTAATAAATACTCTGGTTTGGTGTGAAGCCTAAGTGTCTGCTTTAGGTTTTTGTTTTGTTTTGTTTTTTGTGAATCCCTTCATACAATTAGATGAGTTTTAATTAACTGCTTCCCTTACTTATTATATCCATACTTTCTTTCTCTAATATCTTTCTTGTGATTTCTAAGTTTCATATTTTTGACAAAATGCTTTCCTTGTTTTTCATACCTATCACTTTTCTACTATGAATTCTTCTATGACGACTAAGAATCGAACTAAGGTAAAACGATTTGCCACATTCTTCACATTTGTAAGGTTTCTCTCCAGTATGAATTCTTTGATGCTGAATAAGACTTGAATAATGAGTGTAAGATTTACTGCAAGCTTTACATTTGTAGGGTTTTTCTCCAGTATGAATCCGCTGGTGTTCTGTAAGATTTGAACAGTAGATGAAGGCTTTGCCACATTCTTTACATATGTAGGGTTTCTCTCCAGTATGAATTTTCTGATGATGACTAAGACTTGAATAACGAGTAAAAGATTTATCGCATGTTTTACATTTGTAGGGTTTTTCTCCAGTATGAATTATCTGGTGCTCGGTAAGATCTGAACTACGGTTAAAAGCTTTGCCACATTCTTTACATTTGTACGGTTTCTCTCCAGTATGAATTCTCTGATGTTGAGTAAGATTTGAACTATGATTAAAGGCTTTGCCACATTCATTACATTTATAAGGTTTCTCTCCAGTGTGAATTCTCTGATGCTGAATAAGAGTTGAAGAATGGGTGTAAGATTTACTGCATGCTTTACATGTGTAAGGTTTCTCGCCAGTATGAATTCTGTGATGTTCAGTAAGATGTGAACTATGGTTAAAGGCCTTACCACATTCACTACATTTGTAGGGTTTCTCTTCATTATGAATTTTCGGATGTTGACTAAGGTGTGAAATATGGTTACAAGCTTTCCCATATTCATTACATTTGTAGAGTTTCTCTTTACTATGGATTATCTCATGCTTTTTTAAATTTGATGACTGACTAAAGTCTTTCTCACATTTATTGTATGTGTGTAAGTTTACTCCAAAATTGATTTCTTGATGTTGATTATGATTTGATGACTGAGAAAAAGCTTCTGAGCCTTTGTTACATTCATAAGACTTCTCTTGAATTTGAATACACTGAGGGAAAATAAGCTGAGAGTGTTGATGAAAGATTATCTCACATTTTGTACCTTTGCAATGGTTCTCTGAAAAATGAGATTTCTGCCATTTCCTAGGGCAAGAGCCTTGGATAGAGGTTTTCTCAGATTTATGGCATTGAAAGTTTTTGTCTTCAACATAAATATCCTGGTAATCATTTATGGCAGAGCCTTGGTGAAAGGACATTAAAGATTTGTCATAGGTGGAATGTCTTCTCCAATTATCTATTCCCTGATATTGCTTAAGCAATGATGAATTAAAGATTGTCCCATACTGATCAAAATCATAAATTTTTGCATGTTTTGGGTGTAAATATAATAAACTTTTAAAAAATGACCCATCAAATTGATCATATATAGAAATCTTCCCTTCATTTTGAAGTCTCAGATCTTCAGAAATATTTGACTGACCATTTAACTCAATTCTACATTTTAATTGATCCCAATGACCATTTTCAACATGGTCTATGTCACTGTTTAAATTTTCCAAATTTCCTTTCAGATGATATTTATGTTCTAAAAGTTGATGTTGATACTTATTTTTAGAACCATGCAGTTCAGCAAGATTAGCTGAAATAAATGGAGATTTCTTCCAAAACGTTTTACATTTCTGACTTTTTCTATCATTGATATTTGTATGATAGGTAGTTGTCGTACATATTTTATGTCCATCATAACATG